TGGTCACATCTGGATGTGGCATTTTCTGGTCTAAGAAATATGTTGTGATAATACAGAAATGGACTACAGCCAGAATGTGTGTCGTCCAGTATTCTAGGACACATTTTCAGGACACATGGATATCCATCAAAGGATTTCCTTCCGTTGTTGGAGAACATATTGGCTGCTGCTCAAGAAGAAATAACATTGGAGACTAAATGACCACCTGGTGTAAAAGTATTCTTGTGTACGACCCTTAATGAGTTTTGTGCAGAAGGACCTGAAATGGAAATAGGGTTAGAGAAAAGGAAAATTGGTCTACATTCTTCTGTCCACACACAACCCACAGTATGGATATACCAATTTAATCTGCAAAGAAAAGTTTCTGAGACGTTTATTCTCCTCTTCAACAGGTAAATGAAGAAAATCTCCATAATAGCATATCTAATTTCACACCCACATCACTAATCTCTGATCAGTTTCCATCTTTGTCATTGCATTTCCATGACTCCAACAAATCATTAAGCATTGTATTTTACTAACATTCAGTTACTTATCCAAGTAACTCTCAATACCATTTCTAACCAGTTATCCATCCAATCCTATTTTTTTTCACAATTGTATTATCAACATCATAATCACAGCATTAACAGGAAGTCATTACCAAAGATACTTTGTTTTTTGGGTTGAAAGAACTATTTTGAGTCATAACTGGACTTTTTGTTTTTGAAGTTGTGCATTCTAATCACTGTGTCAAATTTAAGGCTTTTGTCAACATTATCCCAGTCTTCTTGACTTCTTCTTAAAAATCATCTCTTCTGAACCTTATCCACTGTACAATGTATAGTATGGAATTAAACTTTGATACTAAAAGCTCCACAAGTAGTCCAACTGTGACTTCACTAAAGATTACATCAACTTTTCCATTGGTTGCATTGAGATGCATTCAAGTACACTATTCAACTTGATGAAGTCCTCACATTGACTGAATAACTTCAATGAAAGGTGCACGTCACTGCATCCTTAAGAAAAATATCTTTTCACTTCCGCAAATTAGTAGAATTCTCTAGTTCTATGCACAATTCCCATAAATGTGGATAACCCAAATCCTAATAGATGTTAAGATGCATTATACACCATCTTTGTGACATTACTAAAAACTTTAATATATGCTACATCTGTAAAAATATTACTCTAATATGAAATGTCATCATATTCTCTCTTTAGTGTGAACTGAGGAGACCCAGACCAATAATTATAATGCGCTATCTCTAAGTATTCTAATAGTATAAACACATGAGAAAGAAAGCAAACCCAATAATTTAACTAAAAATAGGAAGTACTGGAAATACTCAGCAATGGAGAGAGACTAGAGTTAGTGTTTCAGACATTTCTATCTTCACAGATGTTGCCTGACCTGCTGAGAAATTTGTTTTTATTTCAGATTACCAGCATCCTCAGTATTTCCAGTAATTGAACTGACCAGTTAGAATCATAGGAACCCTACAGTGTCGAAGCAGGCTGTTTGAACCATCGAGTCTACACTGACCCTCTGAAGATCATCCCCCATTCCTGTAACCCCGCTAACCCATCTACCCTGCACATCCCTAGCTCTGTGGGCAATATAGCATGGCCAGTCCACCTAATTTGCACATCTTTGGACTGTGGGCGGAAACCAGAGCACCCAGAGCAAACCCATGCAGGCACAGGCAGAATGTGCACACAGTCACCCAAGGGTGGAATCGAACTCATTCCCTAGCACATGAGGCAGCAATGCTAACCACTGAGCCATTCTCCTGTCATTGTGCTGCAGAAGAGGATATCCTTTGTTTGGACTAGAGAAGATTCTGTTTGATGACATAGCTGCTGAGAAGCAAGTGCTAGAAAATGACTTTGACGATGAGTTTGTAATTTGCCTCCTTTTTGCCTCCTTTAGTTATTCCTAAATTGAGATTCTCACAAGGTCAAATTTATATTCTGACAAATAGCATTCCTTGCAATTGTTGACCTGGGACATTACTCTCTTTTTCTTGATGTTAACCTCCTTGTTGCTTGAGGAGGGGCAAGGAGAAGAGACAGGCACAGAAAATTACCTCTTGCTGGTGCGGGGAGTTTAACCCATGCAATTGACACTATTAAGCAGATGCTGTAACCAGCTGAGCTAATTGTCCTCTCTTCTATGCACTTCTGGCATTAGCTACATTGTCACTTGCAGCAGAACTCACCGCATCCTTTCATTATCTTTATCGTTGGAACGTGTATATAGTTGTTCCATTCAGCCTCTCGAGCCTGTTCTCTTAAATCATGGTTAATTAGAGCTTTAGCTCAATTCACCCATCTCTAATCAGTATTCTTTGAGCAGGCGCCAAACAAGAGTCTATTGATTCTCGGTCTTGAAATTTCAATTGTTCCAGCGTCCAGTCTTCTGAGGGAAAAACGTCCAGGTTTCCACAACTCTTTGTGTGAAAGCATGATTCATAATTTAATTTCGAAATGGCCCATCTGAAAATTTCATATTCTGAATCCTTTAATTCTGGATTTTCTCACCAGAAGAAAAAGTTTCTCTTTACCTATCCTTTTGAATCCTTTTATCATTTCAAATATCTTGATCTATTCACCTTACAATCTTCTATATCCAAGGCGTTAAAGTCAAGTTTATGCAACTTGTCTTCATAACTTAACCCTCTGATACCTGATGTCATCCTGGTGCACCATGCTGCAATCCTTCCATGGTCAGAATATCCTTCCTGAGGTATGATTTCCAAACGTTGAATGCATACTTAATCTAGGTCAAGGCTGCAGAACTTGCTTTCTCTTATATTTCAGTCATTTTTGCAGCTGCTCACTAACCTTTGTGTATATGGACACCCGGATCCCTTTGCTCCCAAGGATTCCTAGTTTCTTACAATTTAGAAAATACTTTGATGTATCTTCGATTCTAAGTGGATAACACTTTCCCACGTTGAGTGCAATTTGCCAGAGTTGACAGCTCAGCTAATCTACTGCTATCCCTTTGGAATTTCGTGCTGCCATTTGCATGACTGACTGTGCCTCCCAAAGTTTTGTCATCTAAACTGGATGGGTATTTTCTACTGCAATGTTCAACTTCATGTCCAGTTAGTATTACGATATTATCTGCGCTTCTAATTTTAGTACATCAAAGCTAATTGGGGATTAGTACAAACATCAGATCCCTTGAACCATGTTTCATTCCATGTTCTTTTCTGCATTGTCCTCCACCTTTAGCCATCTTTCCTAAAAGGTGACCATGATGGCAAACAACTTTACAGGTGATGCTCTTGACCTGTAACCACTTCTTAAATTGGCATGTTTGGGACAAGAGTTCAGGAACTTTTATGGGCAACCCTGTGCCATACTTACGGGACTTGACAAAACACTTTCTCATCCACTTTTGATATCAGCAGCTGTCTGATTAATTCAAACCACTTTCCTGTTCAAAGAACATGCAAGGGCTTCATCCTCCTGGTCTTTGTCTCAGATGTTTGATTTCCTAATGTTTCACATTGTTATTTCAGTGCCTTTCTTGGTATACTTTATCTCCACTGCAGCCAAGCCTCTGAATCTTTTAATTTGCTTTTGATGTCAAGCTCCCAATGCTGAATTCTTGTTCTGCCAAAGGTGTTGTTAGGCTTACGAGCCTGCATGTGTTTTCACACACTGAAGCTGAGAAGAACATGATGTGCGTCGCTTGGCTGCTGAAGCTCTCGTGAAAATGAATGCAAGCTACGGACTTTTGTGATTCATTCTTGGACCACGTTCACCATGATAAATGTATGTGATCGATTACAGTAAGTACTGCTCATGTTTTATAGCCTCCCTGTTCATTAGTTACAGCAAAATCTCAGCTGTTAAATACAATTATGCTGGGGTTTTGTTTTGAATTATCAAGTACAAAATAAGAACGCTCTCAAAATGTGATTGAAGTAGTACCCGGTGTATAACAGCATGCAAAATTAAAGGCTGGCAGATCAAGGCAGCTGATCACTGGCCTTTCTGTTGAGCCATTAACATTGCCCTTCATATGGCAAATCCTCTTATTGAAGGCTTGTGTCAAGCTTTTTACCTTCCTTCAGACATATGAAGAAAGGTGCAGTTGTACCAGAAGTCTGTATTTGTACTACATTCTGGAGCAGGCATGATATGGAGGCGCCAGTGTTGGACTGGGTTGGACAAGGTCAAAAACCATACGATACCAGGTTATAGTCCAACAGGTTTATTTGAAATCACAGACTTTTGGACCGGGCAATGCTCCAAAAGCTTATGTGTTCAAATAATCCTGTTGGACCATAATCTGGTGTTGTGTGATTTTTGACCTGGAGCAGGCAGATCACTTTTCTCCAACCTGTCCTGGTGTCTCCTCCCTTCCTGAAGGGAGTGGATGAGGCTACAACCGAGGGTGGGGTTCTACAGGTGCCAGCAGCCCTCTGGAACCTCGCTCGTGAACATTTGACATGTTGGTTGTGCAATAAATTCTGGGACACTCATGACAATCGATTTATGAAAGAATGTTGTTAACAAAAGGCTTGAGGAAGGCCACAGTCTGCTTGACAAGCTGAAGATATATTTCTATTGGTTGTGTTGAAATAAGGGAGTGGTAAGTTGGGGAAGAGGCACTAGCAATAAATTCTCAAAAAAAACTTTGGTTGTAGGAAAGGAAGAAGAGAAAGAATTATAAAACCATTCATTTGTAAATTTTATGGCAAAACTAAAAGTAACATAACTATAAGACAAATTTTAGAGCCCTATGTCTACAAGCTTCGAGTACATTTTAATACAATCTGCATTTGTGCATCACATTTTTTTTGACTGCTTTAAAAAACAATCTATCCTCCGAATGTTGTGTTGACTTTTGATGTCTTGTGATTTAATGTTATATGTAAAACAAAAGAAAATTGGATTTTTTTTGTCTGGAATGTATTACAATTTTTCTCTTGCCATTTTTGTGTAAAATTTACAGAATCAGTGTTACATCCTGCGCTGCAAAGGTAATGTGCCATTACTCTAAGGCTGTCCTTATTTGCTCAGTATGTTGATTTCTCTTGAAAACAAAATGTCTTTGCACCTTCTGAATCATTGTGGAGGGAGGGTAGTGGATCTTTCAAAATGAAATCAAAATTTGTGATTCTTTTACCACCTGATGGGGGGGTTGTTAAAAGGACAAAGAGAGGGAGGGAGGGGCTAAATCGATGTTCTGCTGCTAAACTAATATGAATGTTATCCAGAAAGCCCATGAAGAAAATTTTTAAACTAAAATAGAAAATGCTTGAAGCATTAAGGTCAAGCAGCATTTATGTGAAGAGGCTCATAGGGTTAACGTTCTGAGTGAGTCTTCTCATGTCAGAATCCTTTCACCTGAACATTAACTCAACCTTCTCCTCTCTATAGTTGCTGCCTGATCAGCTGAGCATTTACAGGATATTCTGCTTTTAGCTGCAGCATTAACCAGCATTTTTTTTTTCCCTAAGACTATAACTGGTACAGTACAGATACTGCTCCCATTAAATGGCTAATGTAGAAGAGAGAGACAGCAACTGACTAGATGGGTATCCCATTATTCACTTAAGATTGTCAACTGGAAAAACCCAATTTAAAGCAGTCTTCTGGGTTGTGGCCTTAGCAGGGCCCATTTTGTTTTTTTTTTGGTTGCTACTAGCTTGAACAGACTCTCCAATCAGCAGCAGTGCAAGATTGGAATAATATTAACCCAGTCATCAACTCTTCAAAGCACACTCAAGCCTGTGGTGATGGTACTAGGAGCCTGTATGTGAGTCCTACATTGTAATGTAAGACTAGTAACAGCCTGGCTCTTGTACCCATCACTGAGCTGACATACTTTATTGTGATGGCGATTGGCTTCACCACCTCCATCACATAATTTTTATTAAACATTATTTTGTTTTAGTAAGAGGATTATTGGAGAAAAACTTTCCCTCGTGGAAATGTCCACATTAAAATTAGAGTTAGACCATTCAGCTATGACATCAGACATATATCTTTGAACAAAAGGTACTGGAAATCTATAACTCTCTTTTCCATCCCAAAAGAAAACCATTGAAGCTGGGTCAATTGATAATTTTGAAATTGAGCTTGATTTGTGTTAGGTAAGATGGTTAACAGTTGTGAAATCAAGGCAGGCAGATGCAGTTAAAGTGCAGGTCAGCCATACATCTAATGGAATGGCAGAACAGGTTTGAGGGACTGACTAACCTCCTTTTGTTCCTGTGTTTCTAAATAGTGTTTCTGTAATGGTTCTTAATCAAGCTTTCTTAATTTATCTGTTGTTACCTGGGCATAGACACTTCAATCCAAGAGCACAGTTCAGGCTTGGCTTCATTTTCCCCTGAATACAAGAGGCACAGATTCAACTAAATTAGCGACTGTTTTGTTAAAGGTTTTGGTCAGGCCTTCAAGTTTATCTGTTATCTGTGGCTGCTGACCATCACCCAACCTCATCAGACATGACTAAGGCATTTTAAAACCGCTGTTGCTCACAGAAAATAATCCTGCTGCAATAATGCAAGTAGAGTTCAAAGATTCTAGCAGAGTCTTCAGCAAAGAATCGTCATGCACATAGGATAGTTACTGCACCTTTATTCTTCAGTACCAGGAATGTAGTTTCTGGGCCTAAACTTGTTGTAAAAGTGACCCATTGGAAATTTAACCGGATTAGCTTGTCATCAATAATGATCAACAAATGTAGTTTTGTCCTGTATTGCTACCCAGCATTAATCGTAAATGTATATTTATATAATTTTTTTCTTGCATTACTTTCTCTAAATACAAGATAACTAGAAAGACACAGAAGCTTTAAGACACAGGCACAGAATTATGCTGTTCGGCCCATTGAGTCTGCTCCACCATTTGATCATGGCTGGCATGTTTCTAACCCCCATTTTCCTGCCTTCTCCCTATAACCCTTGATCCCCCTACCAATCAAGAACCTACCTAGCTCTGTCTTAAATACATTGCATATATTCTGAGGGAAAATTAGCTTCTTGTTGCAAATGGCTTTCAGAATGTAAAATTCTTCCTTATTGCAGGTACAATACTCTGGAATGTTTACAGTGAATCAGAGTGTCAGTGACCTACTTTATAAAATGATGAGCACAATCTCAGAACTCACTGGTATAACTGAAGTTCATTTAAATAATCTAGGTGGCACATCCCAACTGTTCAATTGCATTGACTCCAGAGATTATAATTCCCATTATTTTTAATATAATGGAAAGAGCAGTTATACAGTGAAAGCCACTCTGCAGTTATTGATGTTTTTGGAGGGAATGGAGTAAGTGTTAATCAAGATGCATTCTAAATGCTCCCCTAATCCACTATACTAAACACATTGCTTTCATGTGAAATTTGTTGTTGTGTATTACTAAAAACTTTTTGTCATTGTTGGTTGTCATGGGTTCTGTATTTTTAAGGCTATATATTCCAAAAGGTTTCTCAGTTCCCGGCTGTGCTTTCTACACTATTAGGAAATGCCTAAAATCACAGTTTAAATCTTGCCACTTCTCTGAAGTGTTGGAATTTTGCTCGGACAAGGTTAGGGTTTTAGTCCTACATTTATTTCAGATTGTCTGTTCTTTCAATGCATACAATTCCAGCCGTGCAACCTCCAAAAGCCCTTAAATGGGTTTTATTAACGAATAATAGTGGGGCACAGAGCTGTAGAGGACAGTGTCAACTTTCATTGGTTTGGATTATTAAATAGTCTAAAAGTATAATTGTTTCCCTCTATCTTGCCATTAAATTTTCAGTCCAGCATTTTCCTTGAGAGAGTTCCTATTTAAATCCTCATAATATTTGGTACTCAACCATACCCAATTGACTCTTAGTAAGATTCGTGGTGTGGTATTCCTTGCTAATCCAGCAGATGGAGTTTGTCTGGAACTGCACTATTATTGTCGTGTGATGGAACTTGGGAAAGCTGAATTTGTAGAACAGAACAAGGTGGCCATAGATTTTTCAGAAGGACAGTTTAAATATAGAGAAAACTTGGGGTTAGTTTATTGAAAACATATCTACCCTCCAACCAATTTGGTGAACTTGCTAATTATTAATCATAGAAATTGCTGCAAAATTGGTAGGACCTTCTAGCTTCATTAAATCACCAAAGATATGTGTTTTGTATGGGTTAGTGAAAAATATGCAGTAGCTAAATTTTGCAGTGTTGAGGTGGGGAAAATCTTGCAAAACTTGTGAATTTAATAAAGAGCATGGTGAGAATTTAATTGTAAATAATAAAATAAACGAAGGTTATCTCTCTGTGCATCACCATTGCATTTAAACTACTGCATGCTATAAAATACACTGATCAGTGTTTGAGCCGGAACATGACTTGTATTGGTTTCCCAACAAGGCAAATCTTTTAAATGAAGACTTTTGAATACTGATGATATAGGTTTGGTATAATTAAGGTCCGACAGCACTAGATTTTTAAACACGCACAGCACCATGAAAATATTAAAACAAAATGACACATAACATTTAAAATTCCCCTCTTCTATCAAAATTAGATAGACTGTGTCAGAAATAATTTGAGTGACAGCGGAGGGGGCTCATATGAAGGTTTCACAAGTTTTTTTTATCAAATCATCAAATAATTTCCTATGATTAAACCAAGAAGTTTTCTTTTTGTTATTGGTTGTTACGATGGCTTTGGCAATCACAGCTTCAGCCCCAGTGCACTAGCAGAATCTTGCTCAGTCTTCATTGGGAACTAGTTGGTGGTCATAGAGTAACATTTGAACTCCTGAATCAAGCAGCCCCAAACCAAAAGAAAGCCCATTAGAAATGGAAGATAAGGCTCTGATTAGCCACTACAAACATATGTGTTTCAGGGTAGTAATGGAAAGGTTAAGGTTGTAGGTTAAGTTGATGAAAACATCAGCGAGTACGTGAAGAGCAGTTTGTGTGTGATTGAATTACCTTTAAACGGCAGTTGTTTGAACTAACTATTTTCTCTCTCTCTTGCATATTTTTAAATATCCTTCCAAATCCTGACATTAAAAATGATCCTTACCTCTGTGCCTGAATTCGTGACACCCTTCCTATTCTTTTTTCAAATCATCCTTCCCAAAAATGGAATTTTTCAATGGAACAGAACGACAAAGCCAGCTCCACACCTCGATGGGTAGGTCTTGTTGTCTTTTTATTGTCTGAAGATATTTTACTTTTATAGTATTGCAGATAACTTCTGGTCCAAATTGTCTTGCTCTAACTCCAATGCCTGCAGTTGTCATTGAGGCCTGCCAATTATATACAGCTTGGCTTGCTGACTATCTTACCTGGCTGAACTAACAAAATGGCTGACTGTTTTCAAAAGCTGATTTTTTTTTGTCATAAGGTAAACCTTAAATCTAATGGTCAAGCATTCTTCAATTATGAGTAACATCAATGTTAGCTGTGAGACTGTTTGACATTTTTTTACAAAAATAAATTGTCCCATTTGGTTTCACCCTTTGGTACTTGGGTGGCACAATGGCTCAGTGGTTAACGCTGCTGCCTCACAGCGCCAGGGGCCCAGGTTTGATTCCAGCCTTGATGACTAACTGTGTGGAGTTCTCCCTGTGTCTGCGTGGGTCTCCTCCAGGTACTGCAGTTTCCTCCCACAGTCCAAAGATGTGCAGGTGAGGTGGATTGGCCATGCTAATTTGGCCCGTAGTGTCCAGAGAAGCGTGGATTACGTAGATTATCCATGGTAAATGTGGGGTTACGGGGTTGGGGGTTGGTCTGAGTGTGATACCCTTTGAAGTGTCAGTGCAGACTCGATGGGCCAAATGGCCTCTTTATGCAGTGTAGGGATTCTATGATTCTACTATCTCAACTGGTAGCAATAAAATCATATTTGAAAAGATACTATTGGTTCTGATTCTCTTCTTATGTTTTGAAATTGTATATATATATATTAGTTCAGAGTCTGTGTTCAGTTAGTTTTTGGTCTAAACATATAATTTGATGAAGTATAATAAATAAGAAATGTTCAATAGTAAATTTTAATATTGTTGTATCCCAACTCCAAAGAACTAATTGATAAACCTCATGGGGACAAATTAATATTATTCATCCCTGTCTTTTGATACTCTATATATTCAGTATAGCTCCTGTGGCTTTACAGGAACTTTAATGCAAACTCCCATTTAAACTCTGATTTCTAGTGTACACGTTGTCTTTGGCCAAGTCATAACTGGATTCGACACAATAAAAGAAATAGAAAACCTGAAGACAGATGCTGCCAGCCGACCATATGCAGATGTTCGAATCATTGACTGTGGGGAGTTTGTCCCTAAGTCTGCAAGTCATGGTGAGTTTGTTTGTTTATGTGTGTAGCAAGTAATATTTACACTCATCTCTTGCTGTGCACCACGGATGTTGCTCTGATAACCTCATACAGTGATGTCCCATGACTATAATGATTGACTTCTAGCATATGTATGGTAGAGGCTTTCTGGTATATGGATGACAAGGATAACTTTACTAGTTGAAGTGAAAATATGTTTTTTTTTCATGGGCTGCTTCTTCAGATTTTCTTAAGGGCTACATTTTGGTTGCAAGAACTCCTTTCTTAATCTTGCCAATTCCTTCATTTGGTAATGCTGCCACATAATAAATCTGAATTAGTGTAAAAGGGGACTTAGACATGAACAGAAACAAAATTTGAAGAATTCAGTTGATTAGCTGAATTGACTGCACGACCAGTTTGCAGTGCAGAGCAATGCCAACATTGTGAGTTCACATCTTGCACCAGCTGAGGTTACATTCCGATAAGGAATCTCCTTCTTAATCTCTCCCCTCAAATGGTAACTCTCAGGGCAAACTAGCACTGCTCATCTTCCTCTATTGAGAGAGCAGCCCTATGGTCCAGTAGAATGATGATGATCCTTCCATTTACTTTTTAATCGTTACTACCCCATAAACTTGAATCCACAACACACAAGTTAAATATTCATTTCAAACACCGCAATATTTAAACTGACACGCAATAAAAGCAACAAATAGCAATAATTTTTTTTAAACATAACTGACACACCCCTTTACTCAAAAAGCTATCATCATGGACATGTGTTCCATGGATTAGTGAGGTCACAACTGAACATTGCATATTTATCTCAAACACAAACGAAAGTGGTAACATAGAAGTATTGTCATTAGACTAGTAATCGAGTAACCCAAATAATGCTCAGGGAACCAGTGTTCAAATCTCGCATATGTGGAATTTGAATTCAAAACCTAGAATTAAAAGCCAATGGATGACCATGAAACTATTGTGGTAAAACCCACCTGGTTCACTCTTGTCCTTTAGGGAAGGAAATCTAATGTGACTACATGTGAATCTGCATATGACTGCAGATTGGTAGTGTGTTTGACAATATGGTTTACTCTGAACTGGGTGGATTGCTTGACATCAACAAAGACAACAGAAAACTCAGCCCTCTCAGCTCTGAAAAGTGCTTGTTGCTAATGTGTGGGAGCTAGTGCTTGCTATAATTTGGAGAGAACTATCTCACAGACTAATCAAGAAACAGCCTGCCGTAGTCATACTCACAGAACCTACAATGTCACAGATGCCACAGTCACCAATCCCTGGTTACGTCTTGTCTCACAGGCAGGATAGACCCAGCAGGTGAAGTGGCATAGTCATATGGAGGGAGGGAGTTGCTCTGGGAGTCCCTAGCATTGATTCCAGACCACATTAATCTCATGGCATCAGACTAAACATGGGCAAGGAAAACTCCCACTAATTGGCACCTGCTGCCCTGAGGGTAGCAGATGAATAAAGTCTCCTGCCTGATGAACGCCACTAAGAGGAAACACTGAGGGAAGCGAGGGCACGTACTATACTCTAGGTGGGTGACTTCAATGTCCATCATCAAGTGTGGCTTGGTGGCATCATTACTGACCAAGCTGGTTGAGTCCTAAAGAACATAGTTGCTAGACTAGATCTGTGCTAGGTTGTGAGGGAACCAACAAGAGGGGAAAACATACTTGCTGTCCTCCTCACCAGTCTGCCGGTCACAGATGCATCCATCTATGTTTGTATCAGTAGGGATTACCACAACACAGTTCTGTTGAAGTGAAGTCCCGCCTTCATATTAAGAAAACTGTCCTCTGTGTTGTGCGACACGACCTATGTGCTATCGGCCATCAGCAGCAACAGAATTATTCTCAAACACAATCTACAACCTCAGAGTCTGGCATATTCCCCACTCAACCATTGACATCAAGCTAGGGTATCAAGCCTGTTTCATTGTAGCGTGCTGGAGGCCATGCTAGGAACATGACCAAGCCTGCCTAAAAATGAATTGTCAAACTGACAAAGCCACAACACAAGACTACTAGTGTGCCAGTCAGCATAAGCAGCAAGTGGTAGACCGAGTTAAGCAATTCTACAACCAACACATCTGTTCTAAGCTGTGCACTACTGCCATATCCAATCGTGAGTGGTGGTGTACAATTAAGCAACTTAATGGAGGAGGAGCCTTCACCATATTCCTATGTTCAACAATGGGGGAGTCCAGCACATAAGAGCAAAGGAAAAGGCCAAAGCATTTGCAACAATCGTCAGCCGAAAGTGCCAAAAGGATGATCCATCTTGGCCTCTGTCAGAGGTCCCCAGCATCACAGATGCCAGGTTGAGTCAATTCGATCCTTTCCATATTTCATCAAGAGATAGTTGGATATTGACTACTGCAAAGGTTATGGGCCGTGATAACTCTCTGGTGATAGTTCTGAAGATTTGTGTTCCAGAATTTGCTTTACACAAAAAAAACAAAAAAATCAACTCAGCCAATTACCATCCCATCAATCTACTCTTGATCATCGGGAAAGTGATGAAAAGAGTCATAACAGTGCTATCAAGCAACACTTGCTTAGCAATGACTCCACAGCTGAGGTAAGAGTGACCACCCTTGGCCGAGTGTCACGTTCCTGGCACAAAACATGGTTGCTGTTGGTGGCCAATCATTTCAGCTCCAGGTCGCCCTGCATGAGTTCCTTAGGGTAGTTTTCTAGACCCAATCATCTTCAGCAGCCTCATAAGGTCAGAAGTGGGGATTTTTGCTGATGGTTGCTCAATGTTCTACCAAAGATGGCAGAGCAAAAATAGACCATTTAGCCTATCGAATCTGCTGTGCCATTGGCTGATTGGCTGAGCCTCATTCCCAACTCCTTGAATACTGAAGCATTATCTGTCCCTAAAGCCCTGCGGTATACCTCTTCCTGTCTTGTGGTCTATTTCCCCATTTTTTTTAGTCTCTTCCCTCCTGTTTGTAGTCCCTGTCTTTGCTGCTGATAGCCCATACTCACCGCCCAACTGTCCACTTTGCTCAGGGAGTGGGACAGCGAGTGATGTGGTGGGTGAGGCACAAAGAACTCGTTCTAAGTACTGTCTGCATCGACTGGGTTTTCTAATTCCTCTTAGGTACTAAGTTGCTACATGAAATAAACTTGAAGTGTGAAGCAATAAACAAGTTCTTTGGCATTACTGGCAGTCACGTCACGGACTACAATTGCATGGGCAGTGAAGGTAGCCCCTGCAATTGCAGCAACAACAAATACATCCCTTCTAATATGTATTCTCAAAAGTCTGAAATATGATAAGCACCAATCTTTCATCTGTAACATCCAAGATGAAAGGAGTGTACTGTCTCTCTCTCTCTAATCCCACTACTTCAATTGAAAGATGATATAAAATAGGATGTGTAATTCTAAAGGGAGTGCAGGAGCACAGGGTGTATATGTGTACGTATGCAGAGGAACCTGGATGTATATCACAGGACAGGTTGAAAGAAGAGAAAGTAAATCATACAGTAACCATGACTTTAATTATAGGGGCATTGAGCACAAGAACAAGGAAGTGATGCTTTACTTGTATAAGACACTTGTCAGACTGTTGCTGGGGTATTATATACTTTTGTGGGTGCCACATTAAAGGAAAGATGTGAATGCATTGGAGAGAGTGCAGAAACAGTTTACAAGAGAGGTTCAGGAATGAGGAACTTCAGTTATGAGGATAGATTGAAGTTGAGACTGTTCTCCCTGGAGAGAAGAAGGCTAAGAGGGGATCTAGTCGAAGTTTTCAAAATCATGGGGTACTGAATAGAGTACATAGGGACAAACTGTTCCTGCCTGTAAAAAGATCAAGAGCATGACAGCATAGATTCAAAGTGATTTGCAAAAAAAGAAGCAAGGGTAATAAGAGAGACAGCCTTCTCACTCAGCAGGTCGTTAGGGTATGGAATGTACTAACAAGAAGTCTGATGGAGACAGGTTCAATTGAGACATTGAAGAGAGCATTGGACAATGATTTGGATAAAAATAATGTGCCTAGGTATCAGGAAAATGTAGGAGATTGGCAATGGGTAATGATGCTTCTTTAAAGAGTCAGTGCACGAGCATTGGCCCGAATGTCCACCTTCTGCGCTGTAACACTTCTGTAATTCTCATTCCTGGAACTATTCTTGTCAATCTCTCTCTGCACCCTCTCCAGTGCATCCACATTCCTCCTATAATGTGGCATTCTGACTGTATATAATTCTCCTACTCAGGTCTAACAGGTGTCTTATACAAGCTCGATGTTACCTCTTTGTTCTTTTTCTCTATGCTCCTATTAATAAAATCGAGGTCACTGTATGCTTTATTAGCTGCTCTCTCCACCTATCCAGTCATCTTCAGTGCTTTGTGTACCAAAAAGCCAGGTTCCTTAGCTGCTGCAAACCCCTTTAAAATTGTACCTTAGTTTTGTATTGCCTGTTCTTCCTACCAAAATGCATCACTTCATACTTGCATTGAGCTTCATCTGCCAATTATCCACCAACTTGTCTGTGTCCTTTTGGAGTTCTGTACTGTCCTCAAAGTTTACGATGCTTCCAAGTTTTGTATCATCCACAAATTTTTGAAATTTTCCCCTGCACATCAAGATCTGGATCATTATTAGAAAAAAATCAGGGCCCCAATTCCAACCCCTGGGGATCTCCACTCCAAACCTTCCTCCAGCCTGAAAAATATTCATTGACCATTATTGTCTGTTTCCTGTCCCACAGCCATGTTGCTACTGCCCCTTTTATTCCATAAGCTATAACTTGCCTCACAAATCTGTTATGTGGCACTGTATTGAACACTATCCCATAATTTACAGTAACCGAGCGCAAGAAAAAGGTGACTACTTCCTACTCTTCGCACGAATCTGAGACCAGTTCTGATTCTTCAACATCTTCCAAGTCATCAGAGTCTGAGTCGGAAACCGAAGAAGAAAGGGAAAGGAGAAGGAAACGGAAGAGGAAGATGAGAAGCAAACACTCAAAAAGACGGAAAGAAACCAGAAGCAAAAAGAGAAAATTATCTTCCCATCAGAAGAGGTGCAGTAAAATCTTTTTAGCTATTTCTATATATTCCATGGTGCTGGTATGTATTATATAACTCAATAATTTTGTAATAATTTCTTGTCTGAGTTCTGCTGCAAAATTTAGATCCATCTGGGAAATTCAGCTAAATTTGTGCTAGCTATTTCAGTGCAGCGTGTTATTGCTGTGTTCCATTAAAATAAACTGGGACATTGAATAAGAAAGTCACTGATTTTAAAACCATGTTCCATGGTCAGGGCCAGTTATCACCATGTAGCTTACATAAAGTGACTGTGTTGTGAGTGGCTTCAAACAAGACACGGGCCTGAGAAATTCATGTAAACTGGCAGAAAGTGCAATACTGAGAAGCTGCTGTATTATAGGAGGTGCCAACCTTTGGATAAAGTTTAATCTTTCTGTCCTTGTCAGTGGTTCAAAGCATGTTAAAATTCCTAGAACATAGTTAGAAGAACGTCTATCTGTGGTGCCAGATGTTGGTAGTCATGGGTTTGAAAGGTGCTGCCTGAGGATGTTTGGTGAATTTCTTCATCTTGTAGATAGTACACAGTGCTGCAACTGAGCATCAGTGGTAGAGGGAGTGGATGCTTGTGGATTTGGTACTAATCAAGTGAGCTGCTTTGATCTGGATGGTGTCAAGCTTCTTGAGTGTTGTTGGAGCTGCACTCCTCCTGGCAAGTAAGGAGTATTCCATCACACTCCTGACTTGTGCCTTGTAGATGGTGGACAGCCTTTGGGGAGTCAGGAGGTAAGTTACTCAATGCAGGGTTCTTAGCCTCTGACCTACTGTCTGTTGGTAATGACTCTGTTATCTGGGTGTCTTTGGGTTGGCATAGACAAGATGGGCCAAATGGTCCCTTTTTGTGGTGGATCATTTCTGTGGCTATATGGTTTTCTCATTCCCACCTCCCCTGGGTCTGTGCTTTGTTACTTAAATTGTCCCATTGCCGTTCCTTTTTACTTGTATCTTCATCCCTTGAGTAATTTAGATTTGGCCTATCTTCCAATTTATTACAGACCTTCTCTTTCATTCTTTCTCCCACAATTCTCTTTCCCTAGCTGGGTATTTGCCTAAAACATATGGCATTGCTGACCTTTTCCTGTGTTGATGCAAGATGATGCACCTGAAATATTCAAAGCTCTCTCCCAGATCTACAGAGTATTTCTAACGTTTTTTTTTTGTTTTTTATGCTTCTTAGAATTTGCCTGTGGAGTTGCTTAAGGAAACCCTCATTTGTAGTGTATAGTCATAGACATAGTGCTATGAAGGATCATAGCTTCAAATGTTGCACCATTTTGGAAGCTGTATAGTTGATAAATTGCTTATTAAATGGTTTCTAGGATGTATTTGAATATGCTTGTACAAATGCAGTTAGTGAGCTTCATTCTGACTTTCTTGCTGCAGCAGTCATAATGGTGTAGATGAAGAGGATGATAAAGACAGAGAATCAAACCCAAAGCGACAGAAACTGTCGGTAAGGCCCGAAGAGATTCCTCCAGTACCAGAGAACAGATTTTTGCTCAGGCGGGATTTGCCGAAACCAGATACTGAACCGTGAGTGAACTGTAGTGACATTACTTTCAATATTGCTGTGATTTTTAAAATATTAACAAGAAAGAAATGGTGTTACTCTGCATCAATATGTGCTAACCCAACATCAAAAGGACTCGGCAAACAAAAGTTTGTCAACATAATTCACTTGTTAGATTTGTATTAGTCTTTAACAAGATTTTTCCATTCGGGAGATGGAAACCATTTAAAGTCAGTGGTTGGAAATTATCTCGGAAATCATTACACAGTTCAGTGGAATGAGCATGGTTTTATGAAAGGAAAATAATGTTTAACAAACTTCTTAATTTTTTTTCCAGTTGTAACGAGGAGACTGGATAAAGGGGACCCAGTAGATACAATGTTTATGGATTTCCAAAAGGCATTAAGGTGCCACATTAAGTGGGTACTGCACATAAGATATTAGCTTATATATAGGAGTAGTTGACCAACAGCAGAACATCAAGATAAATAGGTCATTTTGAACTTGGCAAACTGGAACTGATGATCTGCTACAGGAATCAGTGCTAGGCTTCAGATGTGGCGAATCTATGCTGATGACCTGAACGAAGGGCTCAGGTGCATTTAGCCAGATTGGATGCAGTGACTGGTAGGAAAGCAAGAGGGTACAGTATCTGCAAAGGGATTTAAATAGGTTAAGTGAGTGAACAGAAATTTGGTAGGTGTCTTATGATGTGAGAAAATGCGAGGTTATTTATTTTGGCCAGATAAATAGCAAAAAAATTTATTTGAATGGAGAGAAATTGCAGAACATTGAGATACAGAAACACAAAAAATAGCATGCATGTTCAATGAGTAATTATGAAGACAAATGGAATGTTGACCATTATTGCAAGGGGAATGGAGTTTTCAAGTATGTAAGTGTTGCTACAGCTGGTCAAGATGTTGATAAAATATTACATAAAGTACTGCAGACAGTTTTTATTCCCTTGGTCTCGTTATTGAAGAAGGGATGTACTTAAAAGACAGTTCAGAGAAAATTGATACTGAACATTGAAGACAGGAGGTATGCCATTTGGCACCTCAAGCTTGGTCTGCCAGTTTATAAGCTAATGTTTAATCAGATTGTGGCCTTAACCCTACTTTTCTGAATGCTTCCATGACCCTTAACCTTTTAGATTAAAAATATATTTGACACAGCCTTGAAAATATGAAATGATCTAGCCTTCATTGTTTTCTGAAGTCTGGAATTTGAAAGATGAACTGTCATTGTGAGAAGAAATACCTCTTCATCAGTCTTAAATGGGAGACCCCATAATTTGGAATTGTATCCCATAGCTTTAGATTTCAACACGAGGAAGTACATTTACATGACTCATGAAAAGCTAGCATGCAGGTATAGCAAGTAATTAAGAAGGGAAGTGGGCTGTTGGCCTTTAATGCCTATGTCCTAGGGACTTAATGACTACAGAGATAATGGATATATTAGTTGCATTTCTTACAAAATTCCCTAGATTCAGGCAAGTTGCATCATATTGGGAATCTGTGAATGTAACACTTCTGTTCAAGCAAGGAAGAAAACAAAAAGGAATAGGCCAGTTAACCTAACATCTGTCTTTGAGAAAATGTTAAAGTCTATTATTAAAGTGGTGACAGCACCTCATTTAGAAAATCAGGATTGACACGTTTTTGTAAAAACAAAATCAAGTTTGACAGTTTTTTTTTATTTTGAGAATGTAACCAGCATGGTAGATGAAGCAGAACCAGTAGATGTCATCATGTATTTGGATTTCCAAAAGGCATTCAGTGAGGTAAAAGAAAAGAACTTATGGTGTTCACTTGGATACAGGACTAGCCAACTACAGGAAATAGAGTTCAGAATAAATGGGTCACTTTCAGGATGTAAGTTAACTAACAGAGTCACATAGTGACCAGTGCTTGAGCCTTAACTATTAATAATCTGTATTAATGATTTGTATGAAGTAACAGACTGTAATGTCAACAAATTTGCTGAAATTACATGGAGGCAAACAAGTTGTGAGGATCTAAAAATGTCTGCAGACAAATATAGATAGGTTATGTGAGTATGTAAAAGTCTGGCAGATGGAATATAAAGTGGGTTGTCCACTTAAGTCAGCAACCAGGTACAGTGAGCAATTAGGAAGTTGGAATGTCAGGGTTTATTGTAAGGGGGTGCACTTTGAAAATAGAGAAGCCTTGACACAACCGATTGATGAGATCCCACCTAGAAAGTTCTGTGGTTTGATCACTTTACTTAAGGGACATTTCTGTACTGGAATCAGTGTAGAGGAGGTTTATTAAGCTAATTTTTAGGTTCAATAGGTTGTCTTATGAGAAAAGATTGACCAGGTTGAGCTTATACTCATCCTATTCACTGGCGTGTAGAGGATTGAGAGGTGATCTTATTGAAATATTTAAGATTCTAATGAGGCTTGGCGGAATAACTGCTGAATTTTTTTAAAATTCATTCATGGGATGTGGGCATCTCTGACTTGGCCAGTATTTATTGCCCATCCCTAATTGTCCAGAGGGCAGTTAAGAGTCAACCACATTGCTGTGGGGTCTGGAGTCACATGTAGGCCAGACCAGTTAAAGATGGCAGATTTCCTTCCCTAAAAGACACTAGTGAACCAGATGGGTCCTTCCCAACCATCAGCAGTTGACTCGTGGTCATCATTAGACCCTTAATTCCAGATTCTTTATTGAACCCTGGTTTCCCAGAACATTAGTTTGAGTTTCTGGATCAGTAGTATAGCGATAATACAATGAGCCATTGCCTCCCTGGCAAGTTTCCCCTTGTGAAGGAATCTGGAACTAAGGTGCATGGTTTCAGAACCAAGGTCTCCTGTTTATTGTGAAGGAGAAGTGGAATTTCGTCTCTCACAAAGTCATGAATTTTTGAATTCTTTACCCCAGGAGCCTGTGGAGACAGTCATTGAATACATTCAATTTGCAGTGAACTGATTTTTGAAAGATAGAGGAATCCAGGTTTGAGTGTTGGGAATACATATTTAAGGACTATAAGGAACTGAAAAGTGGAACAGTTTGGAAATTCTGAAAGAAAAATAGTTGACCAAGGTTGTGAAGAGACATGTGATTTCTTGGAATGGGCCAATAGTAATATGAGCTGTGATTCACCCGCTAATTACTGAGAAGTAAAGTAACTTTCGGAATATAAAACAAGCAAAGCTTTTAAGAGGGGTAAAAGGAGATTTATTATTTACCTGATAGACTTGGTTTCGAAGAGATGAGGGCCATGTGCTAAAGGTTGCTGAGCAACACTTTTTTCAGGAGTTGATTCCTACTTTCCCCAGACAACTGGTTGTGTCAATAGAAGAAAAACTCCTTCAAAGTGTACAGTAGATGAGTCTATCTGTCCAGACAAATAAGCAGAAATCTTCATGGCAAGGCAAGCCGCACAGATCTCAATCTGTTACAAGTGTATCAGGGAACCTGAGAAAGTTCCAAATATCAGTTTCTCTCACTACCTAATAAACCCTGAAAGCTGAACTATTGGAATAGAAAGGATTGTTCCCTTTAGATGAAGGGTCAAGAACAATGGGACACACTTTTAAAGTGAAAGTCTGAAGGTTTGGAGGAGATTTGAGGGAAAATGTTTTCATCCACAGAGTGGTGAGGGTCTGGAATGCAGGCGTGGGAGGACAGCTGTAACCTTTAAAAAGAACTTGGATGAGTACTAGAAGTGTTATAACATTCAACACAATGTGCCCAGTGCAGGAAAGTGGGATTACTGTAGATAGTAGTATATTTTTGACTGAACAGAGATTCGATGCCACGGAAGCTCGACAGGGTAGATATTGTGAAGATGTTACCACTAGTGAAAGCATTTCAAACAAGGGGGCATAATTACAGAATAAGATTTCATTCAATTAAGACTGAGATACAAAGGAATTTCTCCCAGAGGGTAGTGAACAACTGGAATTCTCTACACTAGATAGTTGCAGAGGCTAGATCACTGAAAGTATTTGAAGAGGAGGTAGGTTTTTGAAATAATGGGGAATTGAAGGCTATGAGGAGCTGGCAAGAAAAAGGAGTTGAGCCCTGGAGTAGGCGAGTCATGATATTGTTAAATGAGGGGTCAGGCTTGATGGGATGAATGGCCTACTTCTGCTCCAATTTCTTATGCTCTTGAATGAGGAACTGGGTAAAACAATTAAATTTGCCTTATGGCCAGTGGAGTAGTGGGACTCCAGAAAAAGGTGCACATCTCCCATCTCAGTCATAGTAATATTCTGATTAGAAACATAACTTTTAAGTTATTAACGCAGGTATTGGTGCTATTGGACAAGTTCAACACTGAATTGAGACCTGGTTTAATGGACCATAAGTTTTCCTTTTTGTTTGCAGTGGTGGTCAGTTAGTAAGCATATTCTCAAGAGGCTACCAATATAGTTCTAACAAAATAACAAAGGTTTATTACACACAACAGAGAAACCCGAGCTATGTTAAATGATATAAAAACAATTTGAAATGATCTAGTTATAAATGTCATAAAGAATAGTTTAACCAGCAGTACTCTTACAGATATTGAAACCTCAATGAAGGGTCATCCATGTCTTCACACTAAAGCACCTTGCTCATACGGTACAGTTGTATACAGTTTCTTGATTGACAACATTTTGTATATTCATTCAGTAAACAAATTGCTTACCTTGCCTCACTCACTGCAAGATATGGACTCCTTCAGCTGCCTTATAGAATGTCTTTGCTGTCTAACACTTTCACAGCCTCCTGCTTCTGGACTTTTTTCTAAGCAACTTGACTTTTTTCCTGAGCTCTGACTGCTTGAGCTATAAATAGCAGCACCTCAGCTGTTCAGGACCACTTTGACTGAATTGGTTTGTGTCTGAATGAGCCTGCTTTTGGGACCCTCTCTCACTTTCTCATCAAAAAATTTAAAATGACATGACTTCTTGGAAATGTTGTATTAGGTCATTGCATAAAATGATTTTTTGACTTCTTTCAAAAAAAAAGGCCAGGCCTTCTCAGAAGTGCAAACTAAAATTCATTATTTTCTGCACTTTAGAGCCTAAGTTCTCAAACAATAATAGTACATTATGAACCTTCATTGCATATGCCAATAAAATCTCTTGTCATCCTTTTTTTTGTGTGTTTCGGCTCATATCTTTCGTCAACGGCTCTTGTAAAATTTTCTACTTCATTTCTGAAGGTTATGACTTCTCTGTTTTGATGATAATGGTCTTTTTTCTGCATCACCTTGAGGGGAAAGAACTCTAGGATGTCCATTATTGGCACCAAATATTCCCTTTTTCGCCCTACCTTGAACAATGTGCCTCAAGCTCTTTTTCACCTTCATCACTTTACGGCATTACTGTAATATTTATCCACTCCCACACCGGACATCTTGTGGCCAATTTAGCGACAGTTCATCTCCCTGTAAAGATGAATGTTAAATTTTTCGCAATAAACAACTGCACCTCCCAGTCACGAGCCATTTCAACTCCCCCTCCCATTCCTCAGACGACATGTCCATCCTGGGCCTCCTGCAGTGCCACAACGATGCCACCCGAAGGTTGCAGGAGCAGGAACAGCAACTCATATTCCGCTTGGGAACGCTGCAGCCCAATGGTATCAATGTGGATTTCACAAGCTTCAAAATCTCTCCTCCCCCTACCGCATCCCAAAACCAGCCCAGCTCGTCCCATCCTCCCTAACCTGTTCTTCCTCCCACCTATCCCCTCCTCCCACCTCAAGCCGCACCCCCATCTCCTACCTACTAACCTCATCCTGCCCCCTTGACCTGTCCGTCCTCCCTAAACTGACCTATCTCCTCCCTAACTCCCCACCTACACTCACCTTTACTGGCCCCATCCCCGCCTCTTTGACCTGTCTGTCTCCTCTCCACCTATCTTCTCCTCTATCCATCTTCTATCCGCCTCCCCCTCTCTCCCTATTTATTTCAGAACCCCCTTCCCCTCCCCCATTTCTGATGAAGGGTCTAGGCCTGAAACGTCAGCCTTCCTGCTCCTATGATGCTGCTTGGCCTGCTATGTTCATCCAGCTCTACACCTTGTTATCTATGTTAAATTTTCTCTGTTTTTCGAAGAGGATCAATGTCTTCAGCCCACAATCCTATTTACATTCAAACACCACTGGGATCCCTGCTTAGCAACACCACCACAATCCCACACCCCTGTCAACCAACATGATCATCAGATTCACATTTCATTTGTTGTCTGTGCAACCTTGCTGTGTAAAAATTGACTCTCTAATGTTCTTGCTAACAGTGGTGACGACTTTGGCAGGAAGTGTCTTATGAAATATGAAATGTCTTGGGATTCCTGCACAAGTGTTAAATAAATGCATGGTGGTTCATTATTATTGAATAGGCTGATCCAATCTGGACGAAGAGTTCAAATAAAGTGTATTCAGATTTTCTTTGTGTCACAAAATAGTTAAGATTGAAGAATATCTTTCTTTTCCAGAACTGTTGACATTATGCGTGTGAATCATTTTATGGAAGGGAAAGGTACCCAAGGGTAAAATTGCATTTGTGAACCGTTTATATTTATGAATTGTGTGGATTTCCACAGTGTATTCATTTTTTTATTATTTTAGTCAAATTTCAGCTATTTTTCCTCCCTTGCAGCAAAGTTCAGGAAGCACCCTCAACCCATAATGATCAGAAACCAGTGGTGTCAAAATCAGGCCGTAAAATTAAAGGCAGAGGCACAATGGTACGCATTTACTTCTCTCTGCCTGTGACTCTTTCCATCTCTAATGCTTAACTCCTTCAAAAATTGATGGTGCTTAGTATTTGGGCTTTGAGTTCTACATCTAGGCTTATCTTTTAATAAAGAAAATTATAGAGTTTATTTTGTCCAAAAGAAGGCCCTTAACTTTTCAATTGGCTTTAACATTGGAGTTAAAACATCAGTATTTTCCCACTTCACTTTTACTGACCTTTACATTTCAACTTATATTTCACTATATAACATACCTTGCCCCTTGAGTAGGCAGACTCCCAAATGGAAGCATGTATTATTATCCTTCTTCCTTTCAGAATATATTGACTGAGACTGTTCACTCAAAGCATGGTTTGGTGCTAAGCTTGTATTCGGTAGGCATGTATAGGTCTCATTAATAGATGACTGACTCTCCTTGTGGAGGAGGAATGGGAAGGAAGAAACAGATTCTACTTTGGCTTGACTTGCAATCAAGCTTACATGCCTACTAATAGTGGATTGAGAATCTCCATGACAAATTGCACCTTCACTATTCCAATAACTGAACATGATAGTTTCAGGGTAGTCTAGTTGAATTTGAACTTATTAAAGACACCCAGTAGAGTTGACCCATCGCTGCAAGTGGGCAACCAGTCAGCTAATGCCAGGGAGCTTAGGGTCCTGGTAAGCTGCAATATTTTAATCAGTTTAAGTTTGGCACTGTCATCATTGATTGTTCCAAGCCTGTATCTAATTTCTGTTGATGTAGATAATTGTGACAAATCCCTGTGGCATGAAAGGGCAGTCTCTGCATCAGGTAGTTACTTAAGTAGAACGTTGATGTTTCTTTGTCAGTAATTTGTTAAATCGATGGGTGTGTTCCTCTGTCCAATACCCCATTTCAAAAAAGCAATGTTGTCTGTGATGATCCATGCAACACCAGAGATCTACCAGCGTAATGCACTATTCACTGTCACCTCTCGACCTATAGGTCAAGAATGTCTTGAAGTTGAGCTTTTGCTGCATTTAGCTGTCCTCAGCTGGCCTGCTGATGCGGCATTTGTAGGTGGGTTTGATCTGGAGATAGGAAGAAGCAGTCAAAGTTCTTGCGGTGTACTCCCTACCCCACGAAATGGATAAGGTTGCCAATTCTCAACTGGGTTTGAATGGTAAATTTAGTGTTTATGAGTTGTGATAGGATTACCTGCTGGATGTGTGCTAGTTTGAAAGGAAGGAAATTAGGAAATGTGCTCTGCTAGACCCTTCTGTTTCTGCAATGTAGACCCAGAGTGCAGAATGGGTGGAAGGTAGAGGAATTAAAGAGGAGAGAGAAATTAAATTCTGATCACAATAGTCCCTTCTAGCCAAGAAGTTGCAAAACTAATTTTTTTTGTATATTATTATTCCTCTGTCTGGGTTAGCGCTATCGAACACCTTCAAAATCTAGATCACACTCAGAATCTGAACTGGATGAGGAAAGCAGTGAAACACCACCTCATTGGAAGGAAGAAATGCAGCGAGTCAGAACTTACCGTGCTGCCAGTTTGGAGAAATGGACTAAAGGAGACAAGTATGTGCTCTCTAAAGAATTGAATAAATGGCTTTGCGTATAATCTAACATATCAAGTGCACTTGTGTTTCTGAGGACCTAAACTTTGAAACAGTATTCATCAGTCGTATTAATATACTACAGAGATTTTATCACTACTTGTTGCGTGTTTTGTAGTATTCTCCTTTATTTTGAGGCATATGCTTCTAATTTGTAGCTTCATTACATTTTTACCTTCTAGATTGTTTAGAGAGCTGACTAGGCAAAACACTAAGGAAGTTGTGTAGTATGGGAAATGAGCAGAAAAATGCATCAAGACAGTGAATTAACCATGAACCTGTTGAATAATGGAGCACACTCGAGGAGCCAAATATCTGATCCTATTTCTTATGTTTTTTTTAAAGTCAAGGTCAAGTCACCACAGTCCCAGAGGACCATAAGGCTGCTCTCTCATTAGAGAGAGATGACGGCTAATGGTTTAACCTGAGGGTCACCACACCCTCAGGTGAGGGAAGAGGCTGAGAAGGAGAATCCTTCATGACAACCTTAGCCAGTGTGGGAATTGATGGTATGCTGTTGGCATCACTCTGCCTGGCAAACCAGCTGACCAGCCAACAGAGTTCTTAAATTATCATTATGCTAATTTTTAATTAAATCACAATATGTATTTATGAAATCTGCTTCTGACTTATGGACTCAATTTGTCAATATGTTGCCTGTGAAATCACAATGTACAGACCAGGGGCACATTTTAAATGTTGAAACTTGTGGGGCTATCATTCACTGGTACTTGTTTGGGGATATCACTTTGCTGAGTGAACGATGTTCTGTACTAAGAATTAATTAGAGTTGAAATTTTATCTTTATAGATCACTACTGTACCATCAATTCAGCTTTATTTTCCTCAATCTACAGGTTAAAGTCAGAGTCGCGTAGGTGGAGCGACAGATCAGCTTCTCCGTGGTCACAGTCCTGGTCACATGATGGCTACTACTCGGATGATCACAGCCGGCGGAAATCTAGCCACTATAAGAGAACTAAAAAGGAACGGAGGAAAATCAAAGCAAAGAAAAAATCCAAGAAGCAGAAGCATTCGAGAAGACATAAAGTACACAAACATAAAACAAAGGAGACCTCTATTCCTCCAGAATCTTCACGTTCATTAAGCTGTAAAACAAAGTCTTCTCTCGAGCATGAAAAGAAATCTCCGTCATCAGCCTCTTCAAGACACTCATCAGAGAGTGCATGGTCTGAGTCTTCCACTCATCAGTCATCTTCAGCCAGTACAGTTTCTCGCTCCTATTCAAGATCAAAGTCTCGGTCTCGATCCAAAGGAAGATCCCGGTCCAGGTCTAGATCCAGGTCCAGGACCAGGTCAAGATCCAGGTCCAGGACGAGATCTAGGTCTAGATCTAGGTCCAGGTGTAGGTCTCGATCCAGGTCCAGATCCAGGTGTAGTTCAAGCTCTATATCATCAAGAAGTAGATCCACATCTAGATCTAGTTCAAAATCCAGACGTGCCAGAAGGAGAAGTACACGAACGCACTTCGAAAATCTAAACCAAACAAAACTTGATACTTCAAGAGTTGCTGCCAAGGAAAACGAGAAAAATGTAACACTCACTGCTCCAGTCGAAGCTGTTCCTGCAGTTCCTTTAAGTGAGAGTCCTCCACCGTCACGGTGGAGACCAGGCCAGAAACCTTGGAAGCCTTCCTACGTTCGGATCCAGGAAGCCCAGGCAAAACTAAGTGAAACAACACCTACGTTGAGCAGTAGAGATTCAAAATGTTCGAGAGAGGATGACCTGTCTCCATCTTTACGGAAACAACGTAGAAATTCAGATTCTAGGCGGCACTATAACACTGACCGTGAGAGTGATCGAAGTTCAACCTCAGACTATCAGAAGAGTTCACGGAGCAGAGGATTTAGTTCCAGGTCAAGGAGTCGGTCATATTCCAGGTCAAGGAGCCGGTCTAGTTCAAGATCACGGTCTCCGACTAAATCCCCTTACCATGAATCCTCTTACTCCAAATCATCCAGTCAGTCATACGAGTCTATAGAACTGTGCGTACCTAGCAGCGATGAGAAATTTGACAAAATTCAAAAGAAAAATTCTGTTTCTATTAAACATGGTAAAGATCAGCAGGCAATCTCTACTGCCAACCATGCTAACAAGGAGCTTGAAACTGGAAAGAAATATGAAAAGAAGCACAGTGTGTCGTCTTCACACTGTTCCAGCGAGAGTGAGTCTGTTAAGTATGAGAGGGGAAAGGAAAAAGCTGAATCTAAGAGACATAACGTTTCAAGCTCTCAGACAGAATCTCTCAAAAAAAGCCATAGTAGCAAAAAGGCAGAGGGAAAATGTGAACGCTCCAGCAAAATTTCCACCAAGGAACATGCCACTGTGAAGTATGGCTCGTCCAATGATCGGGTGCAACGGCCAAAGAAGAAATCTTCAAGAACCAAATCCTCTGAAAGGAAACTTGCTGCAGGGTCTTACAGCAAAGATGGGGAAACTACAAAGAAAGTTCACAAAAAGCCAAAGTTGAAATCCGAGACTGAGTCTGAAACTGAACAGAGTAAAAGCAGCAAGGTGCAGTCTGGGACCACCTCAGAAGAGGGAGAAGTGGTACAGAAATATGATGGTGGTGAGACAGAAGGGAAAGTGTCGAACAGAAGAGTGAATTCAAGATCTGAGGTGTGCAGTGCCAAATCTTCTGTGTCGTCCAGCTCGGAAGGGAGCAGCAGACAGCCATCAGCCAGAAGGTCCTCTGTTGCGAGCAGTTCTTCAGGTTCGGCAAGAGAAAATGAAAAGAGGCGAAAGAAGAAAGTGAAACACAAACTTAAGAGTAAGAAAAAGTCAAAATCAAAGAGTACCAAATTCAAAAAGAAAAACGAGAAGAAAAAGGTTAAAAAGGTTCCAAAAACGAAGGAGAAATTCCATTGGCAGCCACCTCTGGAGTTTGGAGAAGAGGAGGAAGAAGAGACAAAAACTGATGGACCTGGCATAAATGATGTTAAATCTAAGGTAAGGAACACACTATCCAGTGGGGGAAGGCACGATGCTGATAACAACGTAACAAACTGTGCTGCTGCAATAAAAGTCAGCCATCCAGTCAAAGAGAATGCAGAACTGCATGAATCACCAACAAGTGCCTCAGGACTCAAACAGGAAGTGGAATCACCATCGAAACAGAGGAAAGGTGATTCGGCAAAGGCTGAAACCGCAGCAGCAAAACCAGGAGCAGCGGAAAAAGCTAAGCCCCCAAGCCAAACTGTGAGGAGCACCACCCCAGAGAAATGCACTTCTGCCTCAGCAGCACGGAAAAGCAGTGAGAAAGAAGGGTCTTCTTCTGAAGCAGGATGTTCCAAAGGAATGAAGAGTGCAGGAATCAAATCAGAAAATGACACCTCAGCAGAGAAAGCTGGACAGAATAAGAAAGAAACAAATGGCGCTGAGACAGTCCAATCATCCGACATCAATGGGAGTGCAGTGGAAAGTAACATGAGGGCAGAAAACGAGCTAACTGACAGTAACAAATGGAAACCTTTAAAAGTATTACCAAGTGTGCAATCAGCCAGCCCTTTAGTTAATCCAGAGGTGAAAGTAGAGGCTACTGAATCTGATGGCAAACCCCAAGGACTAAAAATAGAAATTAAAAGCAAAAATAAAGTCAAACCAGGCTCTCTTTTTGATGAAGTTCGGCGGACAGCAAGGTTGAACCAAAGGCAGAGAAACCAAGAAACTTCGAGTGAAGAAGACTCACCATCCAGAGATAGCAATAGCAGGTCTCGAAGTCAGAGTAGCTCACGTGGCCATTATAGATCCAGTTCAAGAGACAGAACACATTCCCGAACAAGATCACGGTCAACCAGTCGATCAAGGAGTCGGTCAAGAAGTTACAGCTCTTCTTACAGGTGTGTACAATCTGTGCTGAAATCCAGTCAAAGATCGTCATTTCTTAAAATGTTTTTAACTTGCAGGAAATCCATTAATGCTTGTTAGTATGGAAGTTATATGTTGCTGAAAAGAGGGACTTCTTATCAAAGCTTTGCATCTTGCATTCATCAGGACAAATGCAAGAATGCCAAATTTCAAATGAACATGTCAGTCTCTACTACATGAAAAAAGACTGACCTCGCAAATGTTAATCCTGATCTTTCTCTGCACTTTCTCTTTGGCTGTAATACTGTATTCCACACTTTGTTCTGCTGCCCTGACGCACTTTGTAGGGTTCGATGTGCCTGTATAGCATGCAAAACAACACTTTTCACTGTATCTCGATAAATGTGACAATAATAGATTGATCAATCAATCCCAAAAGGCGCTTATCTGTTGGTAGCCAACCCTGATTAGCAAAGACATTGCCATGGAGAAAGCAAAGGAGAACAATAGACCCCAAAACTCCTGCGTAATTCAAGAAAAGCACAGAGCTTGTAACACATTCCTACCACGCAATCAAATAAGATGGTATATGAATTTTAGAATTGGTGCGAGGTATGGAGGCCATACTTGCCAGCAACTACCTGAGCAAATCAAACAGCATAATCTTTATCAATAGGCAGAGTATAGACCACACTCAACTAGCTCATGCATGAACAGATGAAACAAAACATCTGATGTTCAATGTAATTCCATGATTGAACAACACTTGCTGAACAATCCTGTTCGTACAAATAACTAGACTAGCAAGCAACTTAAAATAATTAGCCAAGCTCCTAACATTTACATTTTCTAGAAGCAACATACAGTGACATGCGGGGATCTGTTCTAGAACAGTTACAGGCCCTTCAGCCCACGATGTTGTGCCGCCCTATTATCCTACTAAGATCAATCTACCTTGCATACTCTACATTTTACTATCCTCTGTGTGCCTATCCAAGAGTCGCTTAAAAGTCTCTAAAGTTCTCTGCAAACAAATGGGACTTGTTCAAGCACCTTCTCTGCTCCCTGGTGATCTCTACCACAAAGAAATACACAGGTGTCATAACTTATTTTTATTAATTCGTGGGATGTGGGCATCACTGGCAGTGTCAGTATTTAATGCCCATCCTGAGTTTTTCATGAGAAGATGTTGGTGAACTACCTTCTTGAAGTGTCACAGTCCACTTGGTGTAGGTAGACACGCAGTGTTTCAGTCCTCTTGAGACTTTGAGTTTGATACAAGTTGCTGGGCCATTTTAGAGGGCAGTTAAGTTTTAATCACATTGCTGTGTATCTGAAGTCACATGTCGACCCGCCAGTTAAGGACAGCAGATTTCCATCCATAACAGATGTTAGTGAACCATGTGTTTTTACAACAATCGCAGTTGTTTCATGGTCATCATTAGATTGTACTTCCAGATTTTTCAATCTGGGATTTAGGTCGGCACTGGGATCCCAGAACATTGCCTGGATTTCTGCATTACAAAACCAGTCAGTAGGTCATAGTTTTCCCCAACTTACATTGAGAAGCTAAGATCGTTTGGAAAGATGTGACAAATTTCTGTACTAATAGAAGTTTTTTGATCTTTCAGCTCATTTTATTGAGCCTCTTCTTAATTTTGAGTACTTATTGTGAAAAGATTCCCCATTGCAATAAAAATAAACTCAATTTTTCCACTTAACTGATGTAACCCCAATTCTTGATTTTGCTGATATCTTTGCCAGACCATACAAATTGGTCAATCACAGGGTGTCTACAGGAAGTTGGTATTCATCCAAGGACAACAGGGGGGAGGCAATAGCGTAGTGGTATTATCACTGGACTTTAATCCAGCAGACACAAATAGTGTCCTGGGATTCAGTTCTCCCCTGGGAAATGGGGAAATTTAAATTCAATAAAATTCTGGAATTAAGTGTCTAATGATGACCATGAAACCATTGCCAATTGTCAGGAAAAACCCATATGGTTCACTAATGTCCTTTAGGGAAGGGAGCTGCCATCCTTACATGGTCTGGCCTACATGTGGCTCCAGACCCACAGCAATGTGATTGACCCATAACTGAGCAATTACGGATGGGCAATAATTGATAGCTGAGCTGGGGATGTCCATATTTCAAAGTGCTGACTTCATTTTCTGAATCTCCCTGCCATTAAATTTTTCTGAATACACGTGTGAATACTGTGATTCTACACCATCAGATAATAATTAGTCAATCAGCTTCCTATGGCTGTGGATGAGTACTGTGCGTATGATCTGTTTGAGTACCTGCACCACAACTATAAGTTACTAAAATGAAGAAATAGAAGGTTGGAAATCCACAGGAAGTTAACTAGCCCCCACAAGATAAAGGGTTTAACATTTTGAATGGTGACTCTTTTATGTAGCCTTGTTTACATCTTGACACTCCATGCCCCCAGTTCACATCTGATAATACTGATTAGTATGTTATGCATTTCCAGTGCACTCACTGAGTCTTTATCTCTGTAATAAATCTAACATTAGCCTTCCCAACTGCTCAGTTGTTTGGATGCAAGGTCATTGGCCTGAAATATTAATACATTTTCTAGCTCCACGGATGCTGCCAGACTTGCCGAGTATTTCTGAGCATTTGCTGGTTGATGTGTGCCATTCATCCCAACAGTTTTATTTTTGGAAGCTGGATCCAATTTGCTGCCACTCATTTTTGGTGTGACTATCTTACATTTAGCACCGTCTAATTTTGGGCTCCCCGCAAATGAAAACTTTTTCTCCAGCTCTGTACCGTCAAATTTTTAATTTATGTTAAAGACATAATTAAATAAGCTCACTTGTCAGCCTTTACTTTTGGCTCCAGCCAATTCAGCCTTTTCTGATAAGTTTTGTTCTCTGTTTTGAAATCATCTAGTAAATCCATTTCTATTTGCACAGCCACCGGTCTCCAGTACTATTGCCAGAAAGTTGTCAGGGCCAATGCTTCAGAGATAGTAGGAACTGCAGATGCTGGAGAATCTGAGATAACAAGGTGTAGAGCTGGATGAACACAGCAGGCCAAGCAGCATCAGAGGAGCAGGAAGGCTGACGTTTCGGGCCTAGACCCTTCTTCAGAAATGGGGGAGGGGAAGGGGGTTCTGAAATAAATAGGGAGAGAGGGGGAGGCGGATAGAAGATGGATAGAGGAGAAGATAGGTGGAGAGGAGACAGACAGGTCAAAGAGGCGGGGATGGAGCCAGTAAAGGTGAGTGTAGGTGGGGAGTTAGGGAGGAGATAGGTCAGTTTAGGGAGGACGGACAGGTCAAGGGGGCGGGATGAGGTTAGTAGGTAGGAGATCGGGGTGCGGCTTGAGGTGGGAGGAGGGGATAGATGGGAGGAAGGACAGGTTAGGGAGGCAGGGACAAGCTGGGCTGGTTTTGGGATGCTGTAGGGGGCGGGGAGATTTTGAAGCTTGTGAAATCCACATTGATACCATTGGGCTGCAGGGTTCCCAAGTGGAATATGAGGTGCTGTTCCTGCAACCTTCGGGTGGCATCGTTGTGGCACTGCAGGAGGCCCAGGATGGACATGTCGCCTGAGGAATGGGAGGGGGGAGTTGAAATTGTTGGTGACTGGGAGGTGCAGTTGTTTAGTGCGAACCGAGTGTAGGTGTTCTGCAAAGCGGTCCCCAAGCCTCCGCTAATGCTTGTTGTGTCCACTGTCCCTCAGCTGTTTCTTGATTGCATATGGAGTGAATCAAATTGGCTGAAGACTAACACTTGTGATTCTGGGGACTTGTGGAGGAGGCTGAGATAGATTGTCCACTTGCATTCAATTTCAGCCAGAAGTGTCAAGTGTTTCAACCTTGTGGCAGAACTGCAGAGCTTCATTCTGATTTGTTGGTTGTGCAGTTGTTTTCTTTGTCTATTACATGCTGCTTATGCTGTTTGGGACAGAGAAACTAGGATCAGAAATGGCAATTTAGCCTTGTGAGTCTGTCCACTATTCAATATGATCATGGCTGATCCTTGATCTTAATGCCGTGTTCTCACTTTCTCCCACTTCCCCTTGATGCCTTTACGATTCAAAATGTATCTCTCTCTTTCTTGAATCTATTTAGTGACATGACCTCCAGAGCTTTCTGTGGTAGAGAATTTCATGGGATCACTCCCCTTTGAGTGAAAAAGATTTTCTTCTTCTCAGTCCTAAATGGTCTACCCAGTGTCCTTAGATTTGTGTCTCCTGGTTCTGGCATCCCCATCCGGGGAATACCACCTCCTTGCATCTCATCTGTCCAGGCCGTTAGAAATTTTATACACTTCAGTTGGATCCACTTTCATTCTTCTAAACTCTAGCCGAACCAATTTCTGCACTGCATATAACATGGAAGCAGTCCCATGGTGTGGCTTTACCAGCTTGACACTATATGCCTTGTGCTACTCCTGACATGCCCCTCTCCACCTTACATTAAATTGTTTCCCCAACTTCATGGTTATGATATTGTGGGGAATATGCTGGGCCCTGAGATTACAGCTTTTTGTTGACCACAATTCTGCTACTGATGGCTCACAATGCCTCATGGGTACTGGTTTTGAGCTGGCAGATCTGTTTGAATTTGAGACCACATAGCATGGTGGTAGTACCACACAGCATGATGGAGTCTCTCCTCAGTTTGAAGACAGGATTTCATCTCCACATGGACAGTGTGTGGTCATTTTTACGGGAGAGGCACTGGCAGTTTCACTAGTTATCCAGAACCCTAGGTTAATGTCCTGGAGACAAGGGTTTGTATCCCACCATAGTAGATGCTAACATTTGAATTCAGTGAAATTTTAATCTGGAACTAAAATGCTGGCCTGTTGGAGTCACATTAAGCCAGTCCACACGTGGTAAGAACTGCCAGTGCTGGAGCCAGAGATAACACAGCGTGGAGCTGGAGGAATACAGCAGGCTAGGCAGCATCAGAGGAGCAGGAAAGCTGA